CATAAAAAATTTCACTTTGAACAAAATATTAAAATTTCATTGAAGTGCAAGGTATTAGTATGGCCACAACGAAATTGTTTACTTACAAAATTGACAACCGCGTTGTTTTGTGTATATGCCGGCCATTGTGTTATTGAAATTTAAGCGAATTGGTCTACTTACGGTAAGTATTATTTTAATTGTATAATAATTCTACATTTATTGTATGTAATTAGATTCAGTTTACAATTGAGATATTATATTTCAGATATAAATATGGATTTCGACGAAGTTTTAATCGAAGAATTGCGTAATTGCCCGTTAATTTTTGATATCTCGCACAGAGACTGCAAAAATTTAAGAAAAAAGGATATGGCGTGGAAACAAATTTCTGCAAACACAAGGTTGAGCGGTAAGGCAAATTGTTAATAATATATAAAATTCTAATATTAATTTCATTTGCAGAAATAGAATGCAAAAAGAGGTGGAAGAGTCTCTGTGACTCTTACAAGCGATGTAAACGCATGGAGCAAGTCGCTTCCGGGAGTGGCCAACAAACTCCACGGAGAAAATGGCGTTATTTGGAGGCGATGGCGTTTATGGAAAAAATTCCAAATTCAAGGCCGTAAGTAAATATCCTTGTAACGAAAATTATTTTTTTTTAACTATGTGTTTTACAGTACTATTAGCAGCATAAGTGAGGACGTCGAAAGTGTCCAAAACAATTTAATTATAGAGGCATCAACATCATCGACGACAATGGAAACGTCGCAGCCGACATTTTCGGATGGACGTGGACAAAAGGTAAATTTTTTTTTTTTGTTTTGTTTTGAAAAATTTATTCATGAGTTTCCAATCCATTTTCGCAGAAAAAGGAAGAGGACGCGTTCGCGAAATTCCTCGAAACGGCAGGCGCGGGCATACATATGTGCTGTGATTAGCGAATCACGATCGCGTAAAATAAATTCCACCGCACAACATTTTGCATCCTTAGCTACGAAAATTTCGGAAGCCGGTCTTCCGCCAGAAATGGTGACAAATATCGAGGCAAAGGTGTCGGCATTAGTGTTTGAGGAAATCAGCAATTTTTATTTGGGGTATTTAGGGTAGATTAATTATGTGATATACTGAAAACTGATAGACTGAAAATGTTTTTTTTTCTTTTCAATTTATGTAGAACTAATGTTTTTTTTAAGTAGTTAGCAAAATCGAATTTCATGTTTTTTTTGTATATATGTATATAATGGTGATATTAGAAGTAACTTTTTTTATTTAAAAATTTGATATACCAGAAGGATGGAGTCTGTCTCTTATACACATCTAGATGTGTATAAGAGACAGACAGCATATATATTGTATTTCTGGATAACTTTTTTAAATATAAAACTTTTTTGTGCTACAAAAATAAACCTTGTGTTTTATTGATAAACATAATATTGTATGAAAATAGTTAATATTATACAGCATTATTTGAAATAAATTCTTTTAGGGTTTCACGTAACTGAAATGCGTTCGCAGTTGAGCGATTGGCTACTCTTGGTTGAAACGATTCAAGGGAATTTGCTTCTTCTCTCCAACGCCCGGGTATTTCTCTGTTACCTTCTGAGTGGTCAGCAAGTTCAAGGGTGAAGTAATTCCTGTCATTTTGTAACGTCAAAAGCTAAAACAATTTTGTCTGCATTCTTTGGGCAAGCATGTATTGTTGTATGCAGTACTCTCCAWCGATTGGCCAAAATTCCGAATGCGTTTTCTATGTGCACTCGGGCTCTAGACAACGCTAAGTTAAATTTGTCTTTATCTTCTGGTCAGTGGCGGCCGGGAAATGGTCGCATTAAATTTGGTTTCAGTGGAAACGCACTGTCGCCGACGTAATAATACGGAAAGCTGTTCGTTGTACCCGGCAAGTTTGTGTCAGAAGGAACTTCCAGTGTGCCATTCAGCAACTTCTTTYCAAAGGCACTGCGGGCAAATATTCCACCGTCACTTTGGCTTCCTAGAGCACCGACATCAACATATGTGAACACGTAATTAGCATCACTCACTGCCGTTAGTACAATGCTAAACGTTTTCTTATAATTGTAGTATAATGATCCGCTATTTCTTGGGCTTTTTATACGAATGTGTTTCCCATCTATAGCTCCCAAGCAATTCGGCATTCCAGTCTTTACATAGAACTTGCTTGCAATATCTCGAAGTTCGTGTGAGTTTGGTGCTGACAAATATGCATCATGCAATTCATCCCAAATAGCGTCACATGTTTCGTATACAATTTTACGGACTGTCGAAACTCCAAGTTTGAAAGACCAAGATATAACATTGAAATTACATCCTTGTGCCAAGAAACTGAAATTGGTAAGCGTTTAAGTATACCAGTGTAATAATTATTTCACATTGACTTCCATTAATGTGACCGCCAAACGAGTCTCAGGCTGAATTGGTTTTCTATATGMAAAACGTTGTAGTCGTTGCTTTAATAGCGACAACAATAAATTGTAATTAGCAACGCTCATTCTCGTAGCTTTATAAAAATGCTCCTCATCCATATCCTGAAGTTTTTTAATGCAAGTTTTGTAGAATCCTTCCTCTTCGCGTGAAATATTGACAGGACGAACCCATCACCTTCGGGAGTTTCTATTGACCTCCTGGAACACTTCATGTACTGTATTGACAATACGGACAATATTAATAATTGTCCTCAAACATTCCTCGTTTTCCATGTTTATTTTATTTATTGAAATTAAACAAGTGTTATCAAATTATGCAGAACGATAAAGTACAAAACAACTAACTATGACACAAAATGGACAGCTATGTTGTTTTGTGTACATGCCGGCCATTGTTACGTTGCTGCCTTCTCACAAATATTCATGTAGTCGGATTCACAACGCCATTTTCAGTTCTCTGTCGTGCTGCTGCAGTCTGTCGCTAGCATTGTGTTCCGCGCATGAAGGTTAAATTCGAATGTACACATATATATAAGAGAAACTTGTTGCTCGCAGGCAACGGGATTTTACAGTTACAAATATTGCGTTGTATATACATAAATGTCTTGAGTATTTCTAACAGATTGAAATTTAAGTTCCTATTTTAACTATTATTACTAATATTTTTATTTTTGTTATATAAGACATATATGAAATTAAATGTGATATTATTTTTCTTTAAACATGAATAAAAGAGAATTATTAGACTTTGAATGCTACACGGGCGTATGTACTTATTATTTTGACCATATGTGTATGTATGTATGTATGTATGTATGTATGTATGTATGTATGTTTACAATTTTATTATTTTGCCGGTAAGAATAAAGCAAAGAAATGTGTAGTTATTTAACCTCTGCACTTGTATGTAAGTGTATATGTAAATAATTGCAGGTAAGCGTGTTAGTGTATATTAACAGTGATATTTCTTTAAATGTACATATGTACATAGGAGGTGTGTTCAAAAAGTATCGCGAATTTTGTGTTTTTTCAAAAATGATTTATTTATTCATGAACATCTATTTTGTCTCATTCAAAGGAATCCCTATGAGATATTATACACTTGTGCCAACGGTTTTTCCAATCTTCGAAGCACTTCAAAAAATCATTTTTTTTTCTTCTTCAGCTCTTCCTTCGATGCCGTCTTTATCTCGTCAAGAGAAGCGTAACGTCGTCCTTTCATGGGCCTCTTCAGTTTAGGGTACAAGAAAAAGTCACAGGGGGCCAAATCTGGGGAATACGGTGGCTGCATCATCATTAGTGTGATGTTTTTGGCCAAAAAGTCGCGCGCAAGCAACGATGTGTGAGCAGGGGCGTTATCGTGGTGCAAAAGCCAATTTTTGTCGCATCTTCTCGGCCTTCTGAGAACATTTTGTACCACCGATAAACGTTGCTTCGGTCCAAGGTAGCTTCACCGTATGCCACATTCAACATTCGGAATGCATCCGCTCACTTAATTTCGTTTCTCACACAAAATTTGATACATGTTCTTTGATCCATTTTTTTGAATCGAAGACGATCCCAACACGTGCAAGCAAAGCGGCTGTCAACAGTTAAATGAACATTCAAAATGGCCGAGCTTGTCGGCATAAGTGAGAGACATGAGTACCAGCATAACGCCACAAAAAATTCGAAGTTCGAATATACGTAACTCGCGAAAATTCTAAATTCGAGATATATTTTGAACACACCTCGTACTGTATGTATGTTTATTCTCTCTCTCTTTCTCTTGATGCTTCCTTTAGAATTTATGGATTTATTATTGCGCCTATTGTTTACTTTAAGCAATCCAGCTTACTGATTTAGTATTGCCGGAAAATTTACAAGTAAATACTTGAATACTGAGACAATATTCTCTTTTTGTTGGATGTTAGCATACACGAAGGTAAGCATACGTAGGCGATATAATACCTTTTTTTTGTTTTTTAATATCAGTTTTTTTATTTATACCATATATAGAAGCATTTGATATCCGCTTTAAAAAAATGTTGCTTAAAAGGTTTTTTACATACATATAAATAGTACATAAAAATTAAAAAAATGGAAACGATACAACTCAGTTTAATTTTACTCAGGGGTTTTTGGGTTATACCGATCAGAAGTGAGTGTGTTCTCCAATTCCTCCCCTTCATTGGACCATGTTTTATTTTATATAAAAACTCGTTTAAGCTTTATTTCAAGTTGCTATCAACTTTCAAATTTATTCACTCACAAGAAGGTATAAAATGTTTTAGTTTTTAAGAAGATGTTCGCAAAAAAAAGTAAAATGTAGCCAAAAGAATCGTGTGGATCGGACCGAAGTCGTAGCGTCAGAGCGACTTCCGATCATGTTGTCTGTTCTTTTGGTTTGGCCAATAGTATAGGTGACGGTGTTTTGCTGAAGTGATGAGTGTGTGATGTCATTGTGTGGATGTTAGAACGTGGTGTAGAATGGGGCGTACCAATGTTGTGAATTTAGATGTGTAGGATGGTGTTGACGTGCAGAAGTGGGAAGGCTGATACTCATTTAGCCACGCACTTAAACGGAGTAATACCTAACCAGAATTGACAGTACACATAAATCAGAAGAATATTGCATATTTTCTTTGAACATTTTCTTGACTTGCATATCGACAAATCTTATATATAAAAACGAAACGCTATTTCATTATGTCCGCGCATCACGTCCGAACCACAACGCGGAAAGGCGTAAAAATTTGCACAGTTATTCGTTTATTACTTTGGAAGGTTATAGAGGAGGAAAAAATCGAATAATTGCTGGAAAACCCCTAAAA